TGATTTAGTCCTGGTTTTAGTCCTGGTTTAGTCCTGGTTTTAGTCCTGGTTTAGTCCTATTTTTAGTTCTGGTTTTAGTCCTGGTTTTAATCCTGGATTAGTCCTGGTTTATTCCTGGTTTTAGTGCTGGGTTTAGTCCTGGGTTTAGACCTGGTTTAGTCCTAGTTTTAGTCCTGGTTTAGACCTGGTTTAGTCCTAGTTTTAGTCCTGGTTTTAGTCCTGGTTTTAGTCCTAGTTTTAGTCCTGGTTTAGACCTGGTTTAGTCCTAGTTTTAGTCCTGGGTTTAGACCTGGTTTAGTCCTGGTTTTAGTCCTGGTTTTAGTCCTGAGTTTAGACCTGGTTTAGTCCTGGTTTTAGTCCTGGTTTTAGTCCTGGTTTAGTCCTGGTTTAGTCCTAGTCCTGGTTTTAGTCCTGGTTTTAGTCCTGAGTTTAGACCTGGTTTAGTCCTGGTTTTAGTCCTGGTTTTAGTCCTGAGTTTAGACCTGGTTTAGTCCTGGTTTTAGTCCTGGTTTAGTCCTAGTTTTAGTCCTGGTTCTTAGTCCTGGTTTAGATGTAATCCGTTACTCCCCAACACCGTATAAATCCAACCCGACCAAAACACACTCCTCCTTTTGACATCTCCAGTATACTGTAAACTATCATAACCACACACACACACACACACACACACACACACACACACACACACACACACACACACACACACACACACACACACACACACACACACTCCTTTGAGACAGAAAGGAGGGTCACGCTACACATCCCCAGCTCCTGTAAAGCTAATAAAGCGTGGAAATTAGCCTACGGACACACTCGGGACCGCGCAGCTAATAAAGTACCTGTCCAAAAGCAATCTGTCGGCTAACGTGCTACGGCTAAACGCGGCTAAAGCCATTTGCGAGGCTAAATTGGATTTTATTTGCAGTGTAATGAATTTAAATTGGAGTAAACCGAAGTCCATTGTCTTTTGATGTCGCGCCGAGAAGCAGTCTATTTTCTCCAGTGTTGTTTACTTGTTAATTCAATGGGACACATCTCGGTATGGTAATAGTAGAGTCAACAAATTAGACTTGTGATTGGGTTTCTTGGCGTTGAGGACTTTGTGTACAGACGGATTGCTCAGTTCTCATAACGGATATTTTAAAAAGTATATCTGGGTTTTAATTTTCTCTGTACGAATGAGAAGTGTAAAACTTACGTTTAAGTTTGTTATAATGTTCTTTCTTTATCACAGACAGACCTGGAGTTGTGTTTTTGTTTCATTCACACATTTTTAACACACAAATCCTGCGTATTTAGGTTCTTTTCTCAAACAGAAAACGCTCCACTCGTGATGTCAAGTGCCAGAGGTGGGACCAAGTTTCAAGTAAGTCTCAAGTCTTTGACCGCAAGTCCGAGTCAAGTCCCAAGTCAAATACAGACAAGTCCAAGTCGAGTCTCGAATCATTGGTCCATAAGTCCAAGTCAAGTCAAAGTCGTCCGCTTTGAGCTTCAAGTCATTTCAAGTCCATCCATTTTCTTCCGCTTATCCGGGGCCGGGTCGCGGGGGCAGCAGTCTAAGCAGGGACTCCCAGACTTCCTTCACCCCGGACAAGTCCTCCAGCTCCTCCAGGGGGACCCCAAGGCGTTCCCAGGCCAGCCCAGAGACATAGTCCCTCCAGCGTGTCCTGGGTCTTCCCCGGGGCCTCCTCCCGGTGGGACACTCCAGGCGTCCAGGAGGGATTCAGAACAGATACTCAAGCCTCAGCTGCTCCTCTCGACGTCAAGGAGCAGCGGCTCTACTCTGAGCTTCTCCCATGTGACTGAGCTCCTCACCCTGTCTCTAAGGAAGTGCCCAGCCATGCTGCAGAGGAAACTCTTTTCAACCACTTGTATCCGCGTCTTTAAACCAAAATACCAAACATAGCTTAGATTTTTGCAATTTATATGACTTTCAAGATAAATTGTACTTTAAAAAAGTCATACTATATTTATAGAGTGTATAAGAGTTGTAGAAATAAATTTTGTTAATTTTTCCTTTTAAAATCGACATGACATGAATCATCAATCAAGTCTTCTCAAGTAAAACAGGAAGTGCTCCATTGTGTTTTTAAACTTCACACATCTTCACTAGAATCATTTGGATGATTTCAGCCCTTGAATTGCCAATCTTCACTGAACTAAAGGTAAAATGTGTCTGTTATCTTTTGTCATTCTAGTCGCTTTCAATGAGAGCTGTTCCAGATGTTCCAATGTGTAGAGTTCGATTCAGAGTGACACACAGGATCAATCTGACATGAGACAGGTTATGTACTGTGTGCTAGTGCAGGTGGAAAAGGGGGTCTTAAAACTAAGCGAGTAAATATTGCTCAAACATGCACGAATTACTCCAAATACACTTTCAAGAGGGTAAATGAGAAGGAGAAACAACTATAGTATTGTTAAAAGCTGTGAAAATTCAATTTTACAGAACAGGTTTGCCTTAGAACATATTCAAGGGGCAATCAGCAGGTTTTTA